ATCCTTCCGCGAGGAGGTTTTACTATGGTTCGAAACATTTCTGTCAGCAGCTGTTTCTCGCGATCGGCTGGACGGATTTGTCTGTGGTTCGGTATACGTATTGCTATTGGGCTGCAGATGATGCAGAACGTTTTTGTTTAATTGCATATGTGTTTATGGGCGTCGAAATAAAAGGTTTTTAAGTGCTCCGGACACCCCCGCCATGCTGAAAATGGTAATTACCATGTTGTTAAGGAATGGGGCGGTTGCAGTTTTGGGTCTTAGCATTCAAAAGGGGTCAAACAGAGGGGTGTCTGGTTCCGATAAAAATTTTGGGTGACGGCGCAGCAATGACGGCGCGGGATGACGGCGGGGGTAATGGCGCGGGTGACGGTGCAGGCTATCAGACTGTGAGACACGTTAATCAACAGTCCATACCGAACCAACCGTCAGTAGCCATCAAACACATACAAACATATTACGCACATAACTTTCATACTACACACAAACAAATAACCTAAACCTTAGAACACAAAAAAACCCGAAGGTTTGAAATCTACGATTTCCCTTGTTTCTACTACTTTGTTTCTACTACTTTGTTTGTTCCTACTACTTTGTTTCACGTAACCGGTAAACCGTCTTTTGGCGCAAAACGACTCTATTTTTGCGTAACTTCTACATTAAACAGCTTTACTTAATAAAGTCACTGGTAGAAACATTGAGGTTTTCAATCACTGTAACTTATTTTGGCAGATTTGAACGAGTGCCTCCTTGATGACTCGGACCCCCGTGTCCACCAATGTGTGAACGCTAACTGTGAGAACACGCCCGGGAGTTATTCCTGTGTGTGCCACGATGGCTTCGCCAAGGAAGCGGACGGGCACACTTGCTTTGGTAAGCATTGTCAGAGTTTTATCATTCCCAATTCACTGCACGTAAAGTTAGATTTACCAAAGGTGGCAAATGTTTGTAAAGTTGGGCATTTACGTAAGTTGTCAAGTCCGGTAATTTTATTTCTAGAAAGTAAATATTTCCTAACTTAACTGGCATTTACTACTGCAGTCACTACGGCAGTGGATAGTGGTGCATGTTTAACTCCTATAGGTCTGACTCTATTCTTTCCCATTGCACTGGGTTTTTTCTCTAATAAATGTGCATTACGTTTTCATGTAGACATCAATGAATGTCGCGACTTAAACACCAATGACTGCGACCCGATCCACGGGATCTGTAACAACACCGCTGGATCCTACACGTGCTCCTGCAAGGACGGCTTCTACACCACCGACAACGGAAGGACCTGCCAAGGTTAGATCTACTTTATTGGAAAATAGTACAGCAAAAAGTTGCAGCACACTCAAGTAGCTAAGACTATATCTGGTATCGTGCTTTATCCAGAACCATGTCCAGGCACAGTTTTACATAGTCCACTGGTGTCCAGAACTGGTTCAAATCTACAGTGTACATACGTTCTTGGATCCAAGAACCGAACCGTGCCTACCATCCATAGAACTACATTGCAGATAAGCATATTTCTGAAGACAATGTGCAATTGAATAAACATGTATTTCAATGATGTCATGCGAATGTTACAGATGTAAACGAGTGTGTGACCCAGAATGGCGGCTGTGAACGGCTGTGCATCAACACAAAAGGAAGCTACTACTGTGAATGTGGCGTCGCTTATGTGTTGACAGAAGACGGACACACTTGCCAAGGTACATCCAACGGACTTCAGGTTGACAACAATTGAATGACCTTTGTCAAAAAATATCATTCCTTTATGTTACTGTTATACATTGGCCAATTTCTATCTGCTGTTAGGCAGTGAAGAATTCTTACCATGCTTAGACATAAAATAAACACAAGCTCATATGGGGACTCTATGATTTTGCAGAACTGAACGAGTGTGCGGCCGAGCACGTCTGTGAGCAAATCTGTGTGGACAAAGTGGGCTACTACGACTGTGGCTGCGAAGATTTGTTCACTTTGAATCTAGATGGAAACACGTGTAAACGTAAGTTTTACTTGTATTGAGTTTTAATCATTACTTGAAAACCTCTTTTTTGATACTCGTCAATATTCTATGTTTAGGAAATAGGACAGTTTTACTTTATGGAAATAACACTGTTGGAAAACGTTACATTATTAAAAGTGGCTGTACTGTTTGGTCTATGCAGCTATCGCCAACTGTTCGACCAACAACACATGCTCGCCACCTCCCATCGGCCATTGCGCAGTGAACGTGACTGAGTCAGGTGACATCGAAGAGGTCTGTGTCTGTGCCTCTGGGTACCAGCTTCTGCCAAACAACACATGTGGAGGTAGGTAGCAATTTAATCAGTATATTTCAATGTGACTACCATACTTTCAATGGGAGCCTTCTGATGTTAGAAGAACGTATGAATAAGCATTGTGTTTCTAGGTGTTAAGTATCGAAAGAAAAGGTATAACTCTGATTACATTACAAAATCAATGAGAGCTGTTCCTAAATCATCTATCTAAATTCCTTAGCGTTGAATATATGGATGTTGTAGAGTTGTAGAGGCCAATATGAAATAAGACAACGATGGAAGCTTCAGAGTTTGTAGAAATTTAATACACGCGTAATGTAGTCAGTTGAGCAGACCTGTGTGTTGTATATGGGCGGTTAAGCTTTGCTGCTTTTTAGTTAAGAATGGGAATATGGCTCTTTTGTCGGGAAAACACTGCTTTAACTACAGCTTGTGTCATTTTCAAGATATCAACGAGTGCGAGAACGGGCACATGTGTGACGAGCATGGAGACTGCATCAACACCGAGGGCAGTTACGAGTGCTCCTGTCATCCGGGGTACCAGCTCAACAAGGATCACGGGAAACGACATTGTCGAAGTAAGCGAACATTATTTATGCTAATGATATTTTCTTTTTCGTACTACTTTCTCGAAACCGGGTACAAAGAATTATTCAGATATGTAACATGGGTTGAAATCGGTAAGAAGATATTGTACAAACATTAGCATTTCCATACTTATTCATCTCCTGTGTTGATTCTTACGTTACCCTACAGATATCGATGAATGTGCCATTGACAACGGCAACTGTACGCACCTTTGTGTGGACACCCCCGGATCCTTCCACTGCGCATGTCAACAGGGCATGGTCCTGGACAAGGACATGTGCACTTGCCTAGGTAAATACTTTCTCTTGTTTTTTGAGAACACTGATTAGATCTACAACGCAACTGCTGTATCCAGAACTGTGTCTTATGCAGAACCATGCTCATGCACGGTTCTGGATAGTCGGCGCGCATCCAGAACAGTGTCTGGGGCAAATTTATGTTCTTGCCTTGAATACGCGGAGACAATCCAGAACTGTGTCTGTTCGTAACCCTAACCTATCCAGGCATAGGACTAGACAGGCACGTTTCTAGATACAATAGGATGTACAAAATGAGAGATTTCAGATTTAAAAGTCGTATGCTGTCCATCTAATACTCTATGCTGACATTTTCAGATATAGACGAATGCACCGAAAACCTTGCAAAGTGCTCCGTGAACGCCTACTGTAACAACACCAGCCCAGGGTACGACTGCATATGTGATGTAGGCTACTCTGGAGACGGCATCAAGTGTGGAGGTAAGGCACAGCAATACAATAAATGTAACAGATCCGTATTTTAGATACTTGTCATATAATTTTGATAATGGAGCAGGTCCTGAATTACTGGGTATGGGCTAAGGTCCTTGTCACTATAACGTGACTCAAAATATGGATGCATGTGTTAATGTTTATACAAAACGTTTGTATCAAATACGTCGAACCCGACTCCTGAACACGATGCTGAGGAGCTCAAAGACACGCAAGAAGGCCAAGGATTGTGTGCTGTTGCCTCATTATGATCGGGTTTTGACAATACCTATAATATTTGTTTGATTTTCAGATATTGACGAGTGTCTCTACCAGGATCTTTACAATGTGCTGTGCAAGGTCGGCTGCCGGAACACCCTTGGCTCATACGTCTGCACATGCGCCATCGGTTGGCAACTGGCCAATGACAGCATTTCCTGCATAGGTATGAAACACACGTTCTTTTTAAACTTCTTGTCACTGTTCATTCATAGCTTGTGTCGAAATAGCATAAGCTCCTTGAATCATAGTTGCTACATTGATATGTTTAATATACACATAAAACAAAGAAAAGGTAGTGAACAAAATTGAAATGTGGCAAAATCTGCCATGTATCAAATTGTCTTCTGCAATGTAGCAAACAGTTCTGAACTGGCGAAGTAGCAAAACGATTAACTCGAAAAAACCTTAATTCCCTTGGTTGACCGAATAGAAGGCTATCTGCCATACATGTCTGTCTACCAAAACCACCCTAGTCATGAAGTGTAATCAAGTGTTTGTATCTTTCACACCGATGCAGATATGAACGAGTGCCTGCTGGGTGTGGACGGATGCGATCACAACTGCCACAACACGCCCGGCTCCTACACCTGTTCATGTCGGCAGGGCTTCCTGCTAGGGCCGGACGGACAATCCTGCCGCCCGTCTCTTTGTACGTACATCATGACTTTATGGTATCTCTACGGTGCTGGGAGCGTTCTTGTTTCCCTATTACCTGTACTGTGTTGCCAAACTTGACAGAAAAAGCCACACAGACAAAACAAAGCACGGCATCAAAATATCATCAATCGCTTGAAGTGTCTGAAATGCAACCCATTTCTCGTTCCTCCAGCATCAAGGCTAACAACAGCATCAACCATCAGTGCTACATACAGACAGGCGTCAGATAGACCTACAACACTTACCAAGACGTCACCAACCGTCATGACAAGTCAACAAGCAGTAGTGACATTAACACCAAGCACTACTGGTACATCATCCAAGACAACCTCTCCACCACCTTCCACAACCCTAAAGACAACCTGCCCGGAAGACTGTGGTACTGGAGGCCGGTGTCGGCTTGTGAATGGTACTTCTACATGTGTCTGTGACGAGGGCTTCCAGCTTATCAACGGAACATGTGTCGGTGAGCATGGCTGCTTGCTTACTTGTAGATTAATAAATAATTCATAGGCTGACTGAGTGATTAGATGTTAGCAGATTTATTGATCTGTTGATAGGTTGACGGGTTGATTGATTTTTTTCCGAAATGTGATAATCCTGGTGTCAAAAATATAAAATTAATGTATCTGTTTGGTGAAAGGCATACAGAATGGTATAATTGTATCTCTCGTAATGCCACTTCTGTTGTCATAAAGCCTACTCGGCCACAGTTACCCCAACGGAGAACACTTAGTCTTTTATTTTTCTCTTTCCTTTTTATTAAACCATAAAACCGTTGACTAAATGTTTGTCTTTTCCATGAATGTAGCGGCGAACATTCCTGTCCAGACGACGGTGCTCCTGCCTGCGGTTGCCCTGTCCGTCGGGATCCCTTTGCTGTGCCTGCTTTGTGCCTGCCTCGCAGCCTACAGACGAAAGACGAAGAAAGTGAAATTCTACAGAGTCGACGGAGCTAGCAGCCACAGTGGAGGGTATGTTAAATTCCAGTCGCACTTCATTACTCAATAAGATGGGTGCATTTTGTGCAAACTGGTTATCAACATATCAAATGCAAATCAACATAATATCAACGTAGTTGACAGTTTTTTTTTCAATCTACCCAGTTGCTTGAGTGGTATTTTGTGCGTATGTAACGCAGACGTTTAACAAATTATATTCTGTCCTATTCTGTTACAATAGACGTTGGATCTGGCTTCCTAGACGGGACGGCTCCTCCAGTGGATACTTCACTTGGTCTCAGAATACACCAACCGGCGGCTCCAGTAACGACATCTACGGCAGTAACAGCTTTCCGTGGACGTACAGCACACCGCAACAAAGCTCTAACAACAGCGATATGAACAGCAACAGCTTTCCGTGGACGTACAGCTCCCCGAATCAGAGCTCTAACAGCAGCGACGTGAACAGTAACGATTTCCCCTGGACGTACAGCAAACTGAAGCAGAGCTTCAGCTTGTTTCCTTGGACGTACAGCAAACCAAACACAGGCTCTAGTAACAGCGACAAGAGCAGCAACGACTTTCCCTGGACGTACAGCAGACCAAATAGTGGCTCTGATGACAGCGACAGGAACAGCAATTTTCCCTGGACATACAGCAAACCAAACAGCAGCTCTGACAGCTGTGAAAAGAGCAGCAACGACTTTCCCTGGACGTACAGCAAATCAAGGAGCAGTGCCGATAACAGCGACAGCAACATTCTCTCGACGAACGGCAGACAAAGCTCTAACTCAACCATTAGCGACCCGCAAGACCTAAATGCCCTACCGGGTTTGAACAGGTAAGAATAGTCAAAGGTTTTGTTCTTATAGCTATAGTTTCCCTTTAGTTTCTTGGACAGGACTTGTCATTCCCATCTCTTTATAGTTATTCTGTTATCGTTCCATATGATAGAGTTTAATGCAGCTTTCTATGCAACCATCCTGTGCAGGTACTTGCCGTACCCGAACTCGTACCGGAGCCTGCGCAGCAGCAGCAGTGGCAGCCTCATCAGGCGGTCCCTGTCCAGTCGGCGGACTGATACCCTGAGTGACATGTCCAGCATGACCAGCCTGGGCAGCTCCTACCGATCCCACGACTCCCCCGGGTCTCCTGCGTGTGAACTCTTGCCACCTCCGAAGGAGGAAGACCCGGAAGCAATAAAAGAACACGACAACATCTTTGGATCGGACACAAAGGTAATTTTTGATTTATTATGACATTTCAATATGTAGAAATAGATATATTTTTGTATTTGGATTGTTTTCATTTCATCAGAGATATAACCTACAAACAGGTACATTGTAATATTGTTATCAGGCTATAACATATTCTCTAGAGATCTAAATGTTTCAACTAGTAGACGAATTATAAAATATCAGTGATATAAAGCAATAATTTCTGTTATTTTCCTTTGTACAGTTCCGTATCCAGCGACCGAAATTCGTCAACCCCAACGCTTTTAAGGACTGAACAAAAGGATTTTGCTTTAATGTTTTAAACATGAGTAAAATTTCGAGCTGAATCGAGCGATGAATTGAACGAAATATTACAACTAAAAACTTCTCTAAGGTTAATTCGTTAGCCTGATTCAAGTGACCAAAAAATATAAGAAACCTACGAACACTCTGGTTTTTTTTTTCAAAAACGTTACGTAACGGTAGCATATTAAATGAGAATGAAAAATTATGTAAAAAGGAACTTGCGTAACGAATACCATTAAAATGGATTGTATTTCCCATCGTTACGTTGTAAATCGAATGTTGTGTAAAGTTTTAGTAAATAGATAAATTAATTGTATTTACAATTCAATGTGGAACGTAAAGCAATTAAATGTAGAGGATACTAGACGCAAGGAAATGTTTATTGTAAAGACAAATTGACATTTAACAAATGTATGGACCTCAAAGGTCATTTTTGTCCATTCTATGTTATAAAGAGCTATAATTAAAGATCATTATCACCATTATTTGACGTTGTAAGAGTCAGTTGATTGCGTGATTTTTTTTCTCACTATCGGCAGAAACTGAAGACAATAAAATACTTGGGTGACGAACACCAATATAGTATAGGACCATCATATGACCACATATGCGTGCATACTACATATAGACAATTTCTGTACATTCACAATAGGCCCAGCCTATGTTCATGGTTAACACTATCTAAGTTTAAATCGAAGACATCATGAATAAGATTAGAAAAAGATTGCATTGTTTGCTTGGTGAATTTGTTGTATAAGAAAGTTAATAACATAAGACTATCAGCACGTTTGAGGAAATATTTACAATAATGGAATAACTAACCAATATATCCTAAAACACCTGTCACACATTCAGAACCTTTCCCCCGAACAGTCTGACCAGATTTAGGTCACGCCCACCTATCTACATGAATGGACTAAAATCCCCTGAACACTGTCGACCTACACCATCCAACCAGACCAAATGTTTTAAACATTTTGAAACAGTCGACTGACGCAGCCGAACAGTAGGCGACCTCGACGAACACCAGCCAACTCACCACAGCTGACCTTGCTCCCGACCTACTCCCAACAAGGGTAGTTCGGCAGGGTTCTGGAGGTTATATTCGGCTATGTGTAACAGGGGCTTATAATTAAAGGTGCACACTTTCGACTCTGCTTTGCCTTCGTCAAGGCACCTTTACCGCGGCCCCGTCTTCGTCCTCCTGAATCCCACTGTCCAGCTCTCTGTCATGGGCGTCAAATGCGTCATCTTCTTTGGACACTTTCTTTCGATCGAAGAATCCAAGCTGTAGTGAAATATGGGATGAAAAGATACTTCATTACATCCATATCAAACTATCAATAGTTCATAGAGATCCACTATTATATGCAGCGAAACTGCTTGGGTTCTTAGAACTATCAACTTTGCATATGAAATTATGACAACCACGTGATATTCACGTGACAGCCTCATGAGACGACCATGCTGTAACCATACATGAATAGTTTTGTATGTCTAAAATAACATTTAATGTACGTACCCGATAAAGGACCAGCACAATGGCTACCAGTAGAAGTAAACCACTCAGCGCGGCACTTGCGATGATCCAGGCCTTTACTCCTTTCTTTCTGGTGACAGGTCTTGGAAGTATGATGGCTGTGGTGACCTATGGCGATGAAGAGTCAAAGAAAGAAGTGCAGCATAATTAAATGTGGTGTTTCCATTGTGCAGCTATACAATAAATCCGGTGCATAGGATCTGGTTGAAAACATCGTTGCAAAGTAACAGTCCATCAAAGCAATACCTGAAAGACCCAAAATTTCCAAATGCAAAGATTCTTTTATGAATCGCATAGTGTTTTAAAACACAACTTAAAACATCATTGCACGAAAATGCAACCCTTTATAGGGAACAGGGCTCTGAATATTACGTTAGTTTCTGCTGTTGGAAGCGCGGCCGGGCTGATACTGTAAGGCATGTCCATAACCACCACCCGGGCTGATGACACCAGCCGATCCTGAGTCATGTTGCCAACAGACGAACGCTGTGGAAATTCAACAAAAATTCAAATACAAAATACACAGGCATTCTTACACAGAAAAAAGTCAACACTACTAGAGATACTTCATGTTTCACAAATTTACTTGCGAAAATTTACTTGCCAATATTCCATACAGTCCTAATATATTACACATAGATACATACATAATTCACATAGCCTGCTGTTCGTATCTATTAAACAAAATACTAACCTGTACGTCTTCTACCGCCGACGTGATCTCCAGGACAAAGCTATCCCCACTTACAGGCCCATGGACTATACAACTGATGGTGTAACAGTCCTCAACACTTCCACACAGCTGAAATCAAAACAATTAAGATGAATATGTAAAACATTGCATTCATAAGGATTCATCTTAACTACCCTAAGGCAAATGGCCAGTAAACCAACAAATAAAATTGTGCCTTAAACAATTATATAAAAGTGATGAGTTGAGTCAGGTTATAAACAGACTGATTTAAGGTATGGGCGCTAAACAGTAACTCTTGCTGCTATCTCACATTGGACATCCAAAATTAGTTGAAAATTCAATATTAGATAGGAAACTCACCAGAGCTGTAGCGTTGTCAACAAGACAGTAGCCTTGTTGGTTTTTCAAAGAAACGTCGGGGACTGTTACGGTTATACTTCTTTCCTCGGTTGTGGCTGGCCACATGATGGTAGCGATGGTCTGACCAACATCACTGGGACCATGGTTCCTAACCTATGCAGTAGATATAATAAAAAGCGAGCGTGACAAAAAAAAAAATATGACTAACAAGAGCCATTGATAGTTTCTAACTCGTACTACTTTCCCTACATAACCTTAGGTAAGACAAAAGTGGAGGCGTAGAAGACTTGGAGGATCTTGTACCATTTCTTTTTGTTAGCCATTATTCTATAAAGATATGCACTGTCGAATTTCCATGTATTTCTATACATGTTAATCATGACATTCTTACTATCAATGGAATTGATTTGCAGCATACCTCGTAAACATGTTTTATTTGAGAAATGCCAGGTTCTGCGTCTACATCGGTGTCTGAGTTGTCGTTTGTAGAGTCTTGGTTATCTTCTTCTTCTTGTACAGAGGAGCTATCGAGCCAAATGTCTCTGGGAAGAGACACTCTGCAAAGCAAGAGAATAATATGGCAGTGTTATTTGAACAAAAAGGACAATTATTATACAAACAGCAGATCCTGTGAAGGATAAACACATATGTGGAAGCCGAATCTTACCCTTTGACAGTAACATCTGCTTCGACCACTACTTTTGCAGAAAATACGACTTGGTTGTCTCTAGTCGTGCTGATGTCGTCCGGAGTTGAGCTGGAATAGGTAATAAAGAAAGGCATTTTATTCTAGCGCCAGTGCAAGGTGATTTCTTTCAACTGGAATAGATTAACAACAAAGATAGATCTTTTTAAGGATAATATCCCGTTTCTAGTTTTTGAATGTTGTGTTAGAAAACGTCCAAATTTCGAAGCAACGTTGACCAAACTACCAGAGGGAACCGGGTTTCACGCGACACAATTATACGTTCTCTCCACGAGTTGGTTGGACCAATATTAAGCGCTTAACAACTTTTTACCGATAAAGAAAAACAACTGATAAAACGTTCTGCATACCTGTTGGCGAAGATAGGAAAATCTAAAAATGGACGACTTCCGTTCAGGTTCGCGACCAGGAAACGTAACTGCAAAACTACCTGTGAAACACAACCAAACATAGAATAATGTATTTTACGTGTGATGAATTCGGATGAAGATACATGTAGCTAACAGGTTGTGCTTCATCATACATCATAATTACTCTAAAAGAGGTATGAGGCATATAGTTTTCCTAATGACATTTTTCAACAAATGCCTTGCAAAGACCATCTGGATGTAAAAGTTCATGCTTATCATTACAGATATGTACAGTAATTACCGATGAGTCTGCCTTCAGCGGGTTCCCCACCTCACAGTTAACGGTTCCTCCCGTTCCTGCTGCAGTGTAGCTGCACATGGCCGGGGTGTTCTTGCAAATTTAGGGTGAGAATTGTTTATTACGTGGATGAAAATAATGAGAAGTAACACAAGAAAACAACTTTGTCCTGCCACTTGTTACATTAATGTAATCCAACACCACAGGGTGTCTACTATAGCACCAGTTACCATGGTGACATCTCTGGTCCAGGTCATTGGCTCTTTTGTTTGTAGAAGACGACGAAACATAACAAAAACAATTATTGTGCTAAGGTAAACATATTCATAACTCACTGTTTCCATCCGTTGTGCCCCGACGTAGTCCACCTCCTCCGGGACCAGCACGTACAGGTGAGACTCGTACGACTCCTCACCTCTGTTCGACACGGTGACGTCAAGGATCACAGACGTCGTGTCTCCAACGTAAATAGTTGTTGTTGAACTAAAACAAAAAAGATTTTTAAAAATATAAGAAAGATTGGGAGTTATTGTGTAACTATCAAACTTTTCTCCATGTCAAGAATTGGACTCACCGGGATTTTAGACTGAATCGCTCAGTCCTTTCCAGCTATGGCTCAATCGCTCACGACACGTGACTTTATGTACGTGTGATGTTCTATACCTGAAAGGGGTAAGGTTAGGATCAAGAACGATTCTGTATAGGCTTCTCGTGTAGCCAAAAACGTAGATTGACCTCCCGAACAGTTCTGGATACGCGTGGAATATCCAGAGCCTGACCATGGTTTTGGAGCATGGCTCTGCATACGACACAAAAAAAAAGCTCATATACTTGTACTTTGCAAAGATTATCACACAAAACACGTCACTCACCCGCTAGCCTGTACACCCAGATCAGGGACACAAATGTCATCCAATCCGCAGTTCCGTGACATGTTCACCTGGGCGCTGAGGTAGGTTTCGGCGTCAGGACGCAGGACGGGAGAGAGCTGCCCGGTGATTAGCTGCTGAGGAAGGCTTAATGTGACCTCTACAGAAATGGGCGTCAACTTGTCACGAATTTCCTCCTGCAGAGTAAGAGGTTTATCATGGAAACAGTAAAATTGAGAGGACTTTTCTACATTTAGTTTAGCAATGTATCAAAACCTACGTAGGTATATTGTGTATAGATTGTGTATAGAGATTTAAAACAAACAACTTCTCAGCCAACGTTTCTTTGTTACCGTGGGGTAAGTTGTTAAGGATTGGAGGTGTAATGTACGTCTGACCGCCTTCTTGGTATATAATGACGGAGTTTCAGTACTAAGTAAAGCCGTTAGGGTTTCTAAAGTTTAATAATTTGTTTGATATGTTAAGACCTAGAAAATACCTTGACAATCTGTTAATAGCTTCTTGAGTGATGCTGCTAAATCACATACAAACATGCACCAAACACCACCGAAAACACAACCTCCCAGGCGAAGGTAATGAGGAACACAAATCACAAAGTGAGCTGTCAAATTGTCAGCAACATACTTTGAGATGAACCTCCAGCATCATGCAGCTAGTCTGCCTCTTCAGCAGACTCATGGCGAGCTGTGGCGTGTCTTGTTTCAGCACAGCCCGCTGCAGGGGCAGTAAGGGACCGTCTAACACCACGCTGACCAGGAAGTCCTGCGTGTCAGGCACGCCATGGCCGCCGTACTCCACACACAACATCGCGGTGAAACTGGAGGAAAGACAAAGAAGATGCGTTTCAACACAACAGCTAGAAAGGTAACATTTCCAAAGCATATGCATAATGTTCACTTGCAAACGGTCTGGCCTACCGAATCACTGGTCTGTTTATTCTTACTCAAACACATTCTGTCCATCATATATATTGTGACCAGCCTCTCCAACTCTGTCCTGCAACTTTCTACATCATGTAATCCAACACAACAGGGTGTCTGCTACAGCACCAGTTACCATGATGACATACAGCCGTCTGTCCCAGGCCATGGACCTTTTTGTTTGGCAAAAAAAGTGGGAACAGAGTAAAAGCAAAATCTTTCCCTCTCCTTTTCCTACTACTACCTTCATAGTGTTACATTTTAAAGATTAGATTAGATTAGGTTAGATTAGATTAGATTAGATTAGATTAGATTAGATTAGATTAGATTAGATTAGATTAGATTAGATTAGATTAGATTAGATTAGATTAGATTAGATTAGATTAGATTAGGGAGCTTACCAGGCGGCTCTTCGGCCGTCATCAGTGTTACACCGCCTGGTCTCCGGGTCCACCACCTTCGGACGGACATTCAGGACAGCCGTGATGACGTCAATCACAGGAACGGACCTGGCAGGGAAACAGGTGCAGTTTATTAACGAGTCGCTAGATGGCAGTGTTATATTAAGTGACTCAATGATACATAGTATATCTATCATAAAACTGAGAGAATAATACATTTTCTTTCAGATAGAACTGGATTTTAGGATCTTACCTGAAAACTGTTGCGGCATCAGATTCAAACGCACCAACTGCCAAATCTGGAAGTACACAATTAATGATGACATCGTAAAATCGTCCAACTGTGTCTGAAGTAAAATCCGCAAGGGATCTTTTCAAACAAACTGTTTAAAATCGTAACGGAGATGCGGTCATAGAACACATTATTGTATCCAGAGCCGTGTCCATCTAGTTCCCTGCCTGGATTGGTTAGGATCAGGCGCGGTTATGGATACTAGTAGTCTCCGAGTATCCAAGCGACTTTTCAATTCACAAAAAGTCTCACCTGGGTAAAGATTGCCGTCGATGTCCACTCCTCCTGATAATGAGTAGCCAAACGACTTTAGACACGTCCCAACAGAACTCGCTTCTATTGCCTAATGCAAGGGGAAAAACATGACTTTCACAACAGTGCGAGTATGTATTCTCATACAAGAAAACATACGTTGTCTTGTAGGGCATTCAGTAGAACATCTAAAAAGACAAGCAGTGGACAAGTACTAAAGAGTACAAAGAGGAATTGTGTAAGTTCCTTAGAGTAGAAGAGATACATGTAGTACAATGAGACACCCGAAGTACATGTATAAAGCGTCAACCACATGGTTCTTACAAGTGACGGTTCCTTTGTCAGGCCCCCTGGCGACCCCCTGTAGATGTACACCGCTCCTTCTCCTGCCTTGCCTGCATACGGTGCACCAATCGCCACGTCTGAAATAAAAAAGGACTATAAAATAAGTACACTGAACTAAATGTCAGACCTTAAGAACAAAATAAACAGTAGAATAGCTAAGTTCACAACCACGTCTAAGAGCCGACGTTTTGATGACCGTCTGCCATTTTCATCAGGGCAATTATGACTACTAGTTTACTGTGCACTGAAGGTTGCTGATTTACTATGCACGGAAGCTAGGTGTTACTGCTAACAATTAATACGGTCCCAAAGGCTAAGTAGCTGTGACATGCATAGGTAATGTTGCTCAAAATTAGTACAAATTATTCGCTAACAAAATAAACAGTTTCGTAGTATCTTCCTTTCAAAGATAGGATACTTTTTACTCACAGATCGCAGTCATACTCATAGCTGACCTACCGTTGAACCCATCGCTGTCCATGTCGCCCATGGCAACCATGGACGTGCCGAAGCGTCCACCTGCGGTTCGGCCTGTTATGGCCGTGGTGTCTCTGATGGAGCCCCGCGCCTGCGAAAGAAAACCAAAATCTCTGAGAAAATTTTGGGGTGGAAAATAATGAAAAAATGAATTCCCAAAGACCATATCTATCAATAAACGTTTGATGACTCCTACCAATACTTTCAAAGTACGATTACCATTAAACGTCTATAAATACATACTTACTGCTATCAAGCCGCAGTATGGTTGCCCAGGCTTGCAGAGGTACACGTACACCCGCCCCACGTCCCCCTGCATGGTGGGGCCGCCCAGCACGCTGAAGTACGGCGCTCCGATCAGCAAGTCCTGGCGACTGTTGCAAAACAGGAACAACACGATAGATGGCACTTTGTTGTAACTTTTAAGTGAATTTGAGGAAGGGATTATAGGTGTTTATGAGTACGATATCGATGTAAAGCGATGACATTGGAAGGTGGATGTAGCTCGGCTGGAGTAGGATTTAAAATGAGAAATGGATTTGAAATGAGATAAAAGAAAAAAACCTCACCCGTCACCGTTAACATCAGTCACACAGAGGGACGACCCAAAACCAGCCGCCAGCTGAAATATATGAGATATCAAATATATACAAAATGATAGATGTCATAATCATCTCTGTGCATTTTGAAACTCTATAATCTGAATCTTATTGTGTTATTGTTGATATAAAAAACAAAAATAAATTGTGGTGTAACGTTAGCACACATGTACTGTTTGAGTGCTAAGGTTGCTAACCAAGTAGGATTTATGTTGCAGTATCAGTAAAACCATGCATGAAGTTATTCCAAAGTACTGTTTTACCTGTTCTCCTATCAGCTCAGTGATAAAGTCCATATCCTTGTTCACTATAGAAACCTGCAACGGAACAGAACTTCGTATTACTAACCAACAGTCATAGGTCATTGCAATTAGATAACTGAATATAAAACAGCTTAAATATATGTACTAAATCTACCACAGTAGCGCAAATAATACACCATGGTCTGTACAACGTTGCCTGGTGTAAAATGCTATAGTGTGCAAACTCACCAATCCCATGATTCTTTTCGCCCTCGGCCCCCCGATGACGTAATCTATACAAGAAATGATGAAATAAAAATGACTAAAAATCACGTCTAGTTTTGTGATTGACTGATTGAATGCAGGACTTTTTATAATTTTCCCATTACACCTCACTTATATTGATAAATGAATGTATAAACGTGCTTGGTGTCTTTATTCATCTCAAAACAATAATCCTTAAGAGAGAAGTTGATTTAAGATCGAGATATAATATCTGTCATCCGCTTTAAAATGGCAGATAGAAATCAGCAAAATATTCGTCATTACCTTCATCCCCAGTGCCCGACAAATCTCCAGCTGCTACAGATATACCTTGAGAGAAACAACGAGAATTTCAGATATCATCTAACCTCTACCATGCTAAAAATTCTAAAATTCTAAATTTACGCCACATATCTATGTACAGTTTAGGGGAAGCAGTTAACTCGATCACATAATAAGAACTTGAATCTAAAATCTAAATCATCAATGATGTTTGTTTATGATAGAATTTTTTTTTCAATGAGAATATGGCATACCTGAGTAATCGTCGAAGTAATTTTGCCTCTGGCCAGTCTTCCCGACGTCTTGCGTTACCCGGTTGACGGAGTAGATTTGTCCTGAAAGAACAATTCTTTAAAAAGTTAAAGACGTAATACTTTCTTTTTCCTTTTATACTGTTGATTGAAACCGGTGTAACAGATCTAGATGAATACACGTTAAGACTCTCTAGCACATTTGAGTTGTTTACAGTACCAACGATATGTTTGTTCTTTGTTTGTGTGAGCACTCGTATGTTTCTCTGAGAGATTATGTGCGTGTTTGTAACACTCTTAGTACTTTTCATCTATGATGATGTGTGTGCGTGTTTACATACATGTGTGCGCTCTGTATATGTGTGTAGGGAAGTAGACTCCACCACTCCGGCTGTGGGTACGCGTTTTGCCTACCTTCCCATAGGTAGCTGCCAGGGGCTCCAAACACCATGTCTCCCCTCTGTAAGATAAACAATACAATGTTGAGGCATCCGTTTGGAAATAAGCAAGCCGGGGTACCCCAGATTTCAGAGCCCGGCCGGGGCCCGGTCGGCGAAACCACTTATCCTCCTTCGCGCTTCAAATGTTACTAATGTATTACCTGTGTGAATGCAGCGCTTGTCCCGGCTTGACAAAATCCTTCCTCGAACCATGCAGCTCTTTTGAATGCTCCTGTAAGAAAATGAGAAAACCTCTTAACACATTCCCAACTAGCACATTTTTTACGTTTCATAATACATAGTAAACAAGGTAAATATGTTTGTTTACAAAGGTTTGTTTTTTATTGATAAATTATTAAAAACTGTTGTCTTACTATTTTTACACGGTGAAAAATTGCTGAACCGTGTCATGTTATTTCTCGCGAGAACACAGTTGCCGACGAGATTCCAAGTCTCGGTGAACCCCTGCAGCCCTTTGTACCAGTATCGTGGTGCGCATGCCTGGATTCGAAAAAAAGGAACACTCTATAAATACAGTTGCTGAAAGGATCTAAAAAAAGACTAAAAAGAAATGTCAATCTGCGGCTAAGCACACACGCACACACACACACACACACACACACACACACACACACACACACACACACACACACACACACACACACACACACACACACACACACACACACACACACACACACACACACACACACACACACACACACACACGTGCGCACACACACACACACACACGCACACAGATGCAGAAGTCCAAAGGAATAATATAAACAGTGCCTCACTTTTCCGGCTGTTCATCAGGCAGCAGCTGAGGTACAGGAGGCAGACCCTTCCTCTTACTGGGAGCCAACTTTGTCTGTAAGGCCTCCAGGGCCGTTACATGCTGCTGGATCTGTGAACACCGGGGAACAAAACATCATGACGGTTTTATCAGGTTGGTAATTCACTG